CTGAACCACTGCAGCCCCAAACTGAATTTAATTTGACCTTTTCTCCATACTTGCTGTTCAATTTGTGTGTATTTGTGTCTTCTTGGCTACAGTTTTGATCCCAGGGCTTTCCGCTATGCTCAGACTATGAGGCTGGCAGTAGAGGAGATAAACCAGAGTACAGAGCTATTGCCCAATTACACCCTTGGTTACAAAATCTTTGATTCATGTTCATATCCACTGACCGGCCAGAGGGCTGCTCTTGCGTTGCTGAATGGGCTGAGTGAGGATGACTCTCCTATGTGTAGCGGTGCCTCTTCGCTCCTCGCTGTAATTGGGGAATCTGGTGCTTCTCAGTCCATTGTGTTGTCAAGAATTCTGCAGCCATTTAGAATCCCAATGGTAATGATGACTCTTCTCTTCTATTATCACCCCAAATGAATCTGCACTGTACTGTTTTTATTGTACTGTAACTCTACTGTGCTTTTTCTTCTTTACACAGATCAGTTACTTTTCTACGTGTGCATGTCTCTCTGATAAAATCAAATATCCTAATTTCTTCAGAGTGATCCCTAATGATGACTATCAGGTGAGTTTGGCCTCAGATTTAAAAGGGCTTAATAATTTTTCAGTGCTGTAGCAAAAACTTTTTATTTGATATATTCATATTTCTGGTCAACACGTTGTCCCTCTAAAATTCAACTGAAATCTACAGTGCAGTAAATACATCATATTTTAATGATGTCAGTGAATTGTCTTTCTTTTTGTAAAATTTCTGTTGAACCCAGGTGAAAGCCATTGCTCAGCTGCTGGTACGCTTCAACTGGACTTGGGTGGGACTGGTGCGAGGGGACCGTGAATATGGGCGCTTTGCTGTGCAAGGTCTACTGAGAGAATTACAAGGCACCAAAGTATGTGTAGCGTACCAAGAAATTTTACCTCTGCTCTATAATCGCCAGAAGACACTGGAAATCATCCAGGTAGATACACAGCACATTAAATTCAGTTTTATATCAGTTTTTATTTTACTTCAGTACCCTTTTATAGTTGGTGCTAATTACACATCAATGACATTCACTGCCACTAGATGTTGAAGTAGAGCAACAGCACTGAAACAAATGAGTGCTATAGGCCACCAGACCTATCCTTGTTAGGCTTTCCACTTGTTATTCTGCATGTTTGACAAATAAGCACGTACACAATTATCTGTATCTGTATCTGTTCAACCAATTAAATTATCTGTAATGTACTTGGAATGGGCAGGGCTTAAACTGTAAACTGGGCTGTTAGATCATTACTCTGGACATTTGGTGATTTATGCAAACAGACACAGGTCTTGTTGGTCAACATGGAAATACACACAGAGACACACACCTTTACTACTAACACTAACAAAACTTGACTCTAACTTACTCAAATATTACAAAACGTCTTAACATGTTAGCAAGTTCTTACAGACACATATTATATATTCATAACATACCTGAAAAATGGGGAGAAATAATTATGAGAGTGATGGAGTGTTGTTTCTGCAGTGAGAACTTTACTGTAATGGGGAAAGTAACGCAATTTCACGTGGGTGGAGACGGAAGCAATCAATCTCAGACTATCAGATCAAGACCCCTCTAGATGACATGTAAAACTATTACTGCTAAAGAAAAAAGTAACAAACTGTCTTTTAGCCTTTTAACCAATCTTTTTAAACGTGACAGATTTTCAACAGCTTAATGTTCTGTTTTTTTTAACTTCACAGATTTTAACACCATTACACACCATGATTTTAATATTAATAATATTTTTTAAACTTATGGGTATATTCAATTTTAAGTTGTCACAGACACTGACAGAGTGGCTGTGGGAGAGCAGCCAGCAGCGCTGTCTCAGCCTGCAGCAGGGTTTGACGGTGAAGAGGCACAGCTCTGTGTGCTACTGGTCAATCATGTGTTGACACACTGGACAGACACAACTAGTAACTGGCAGTAGCGCTCAATGTCACTTATTTGTGCTTTCTTTTTTTCCTTCCCTCTTCCTTTTGAAACTCTTTCCTCCTCCATCATCTGGCTCCCTGTAAAGGTGATCCGTAGCTCTTCAGCAAAAGTGGTGGTGGCATTTTTATCCGTGGGAGAGATGACGCCTTTCTTGAGAGATTACATGATACAGAACATCACTGGAATCCAATGGGTGGCCAGTGAGGCCTGGGTTACAGCATCTGTCTTCACATGGAGCAAGTTTTACCCCTACATGGGGGGCACCATTGGGTTTGGCATCAGGAAAGGTCATATATCCAGACTCAGTGACTACCTCCAGACAGTAAACCCTCAGATGTATCCAAATAATCTTTTGGTTAAGGAGCTCTGGCAGGCTCTGTATGGTTGCAGTTCTTCTGTGTCCTCCGACTCCAAGTTGCCTCCCTGCACAGGGCAGGAGTCCCTGTTGGAGCAGCATTCGGCCTACATGAATACATCCAGCCCTAGAGTAGCATACAATGTCTATAAGGCTGTATATGCAATTGCTCATTCCCTCCACAACCTTCTTCTCTGTCAACCAGGCAGTGGGCCTTTCCAAAACAACTCATGTGCTCAAAGCAACAACATTCACCCCTGGCAGGTATAATCCAGCATTCTTACTGATACAGTATTACATTGAAAATCTTGTTAAAATTATTTTAAAGTAATTCATATTATCTGTATTATCTATTGGTTTTCAAGCTCCAATACTACCTCCAGGAAGTGAAATTTGAAATTGCCGGGGAGGAGGTGAACTTTGACCTGAAGGGCGACTCCATACCCTATTATGATATCATCAACTGGCAGAGAGGCACAGGCGGAAACACTGAGTTTGTCAACGTGGGGTTGTTTGATGGAACCAAGCCTGCTGGAGAGGAGCTGGTGATCCAGGAAGACGGGATCATTTGGGCAGGGCATCAGAGTGAGGCAAGCTGCTCACACTGTGTTTTTACCTTCATCAGATGCCAACTGTTGAAGTTCTGTAGGTTGAGAGGGAGGTAAGTCAGGTGGGCAGGGCAAGAAGGATCTGATATTAGTACAGTAAACAGTTGCGAGTCAAGAGCTTCAATAAAATGAAACATTGCATTTGTAAACATAAAAAAACACGCTCTATTTTTCTTCAAAGCCCACCATACAGTATGACCTATAGTTAATGTAATAATTTTCTTTCGCATTTATTGTGGTGGAATTCTTTCAAAATTAGAGCTTTAGTCATTTATTTTTTCATTTCAATACTGACACTGAATCTAAGGCTACTTTTTTAAACAACATAGGTAATCAATTGTTTCCATTTTATATTTATATTCATACATGTTGAATTGAACTACATATTGTGAAATAGCTCTGCAAATTGCTGTTCAACCAATGGTACAAAATGCAAAAAAGCACTAAATTGACTAATAATTTCGTCACACTCACTGCAGAGCTGAAAGCCATTATCTGCTCCCTAGGTTCCAGTGTCTGTATGCAGTGCCAGCTGTCCTCCAGGGTCACGGAAGGCTGTCCGTCGTGGAGAGCCTGTTTGCTGTTTTGACTGTGTACCATGTGACAGTGGCAAAATTAACAACCAGACAAGTGAGCTTGAAGCCAAGCAATAAATATCACACAATTAAATGTATTTTATTAGGTCGGGTAATCAGGTAATATTTGAATACTGAATATTTGAAATGAGCCACTCTTTTTTTAACCCTTTTCCCTTTAGACTCAATAGACTGCAGATTTTGTCCCGACGACTTCTGGTCAAACAAAGACAGAACAGCCTGCATCCCCAAGGAGGTGGAGTTCTTGGCTTATGATTCCTTGGGTATAGCCCTGACAGTGACCTCTGTGGTGGGTGCCTGCCTCACTGTGGCTGTCTTTGCAGTCTTTTTCTATCATAGACACACAGCCATTGTCCGTGTGAATAACTCTGAACTCAGCTTCTTCATCCTTTTTCCACTGACTCTGTGTTTCCTGTGTTCCCTGGTGTTCATTGGAGAGCCAACACCTTGGTCCTGCATGCTGCGCCACACTGCCTTTAGCATTACATTTTCACTGTGTCTCTCGTGCATTCTGGGGAAGACTCTGGTGGTGTTGGCGGCTTTCACTGCCACCAGGCCAGGGAACAACATCATGAAGTGGCTGGGGCCCAAGCAGCAGAGGTTCATTATTTTCAGTTGCACTCTGGTTCAGGTGGCTATCTGTGCTGCCTGGCTCATTGATGCTCCTCCTTTTCCATCCCGAAATACACAATATGAACGCTCAAAGATCATACTGGAGTGTAGCGTTGGCTCCAGCCTCGCATTCTGGTGTGTTCTGGGATATATTGGTCTACAGGCCTGTCTGTGCTTTGTATTAGCTTTTTTGGCCCGTAAGTTGCCTGGTAACTTCAACGAGGCCAAGTTCATCACTTTTACCATGTTAATCTTCTGTGCTGTGTGGCTAGCATTCATCCCTGCTTATATCAGCTCCCCTGGAAAATATGCAGATGCCGTGGAGTCATTTGCCATTCTGGCTTCCAGTTTTGGCTTGTTGTTCTGCTTGTTTACTCCAAAGTGTTACATTATTTTGGTAAAGCCAGAAAAGAATAAAAAACAGCACCTAATGGGAAAAGACAATAAGTAGCATAAGTGATAAGTTGACATTTTCTTCGAGATGTGAGATTTACATTTACTGTTCAATGTCATTTAAAGGTAGTCTTAACAATTTATGACTTATTTCACAATTCGTATTGACTGGGCAGCGGCAATTGTATGCAACTGATATTGCAGCTTTGCAAGTGAAGTACAGTGAAGAAAGCATTAAATAAGTTTAATTAGAAGAAGCTTAATCTATATTTTGAAGAAACAATGATTTTACTTTGGGAACCAGCTAGACAAGTATGTTCAGTTATTATAAGTATCTTGTAGATAAAAATGTATTCCAATAAATAAATAAATAAATAAACAACATTTTTGATCATGATATGGGGATGAAATGCACAAGGGGGGCATGGAGCATGACACGGGGATACATGCATTAGAGAAGAAAATATGAATAATAGAAATAATAAAAAGAAGACAATGAGTAAAGGTTGGATTTCCTGAAATAGAAGTTTCAGCTGTTACATAGTATAAGTGCATTCAACCATGTGGATACAACCCAAAAATTGCAAGAACTGGTTGAAAACCTGCACTGACTCCTGGGTGAGTAATGGACACATGGTCCTGATGTTGAGCAGAATTAACTTGCAGGAGTGGGCTGTCATAGCAGTGTTGGTGGGAAAGGAGTGTTGGTCAGCTAGTGTCACATCCAGGTTATCTGCAGTTGAGGCTAGGAACACCACAGAGTTTTCAGTAGGAATGGAGAAGTCCTGACCTGATATGCCTTATCTGGAAGAAAGGAAAAGCTCGGCCTTATTGAAGTTGAGTTTCTGGTGGTGTGCATTCTCTCCATAACTTATAAATCATGATGATTAAAATACCTATGTTGTTGCATCAATTAACATATTGTTCTTTCATTAAAGGTCCAGTGTGTAACATTAAGGAGGATTGATTAGCAGAAATGGAATATAATTTTCATAGATATGTTTTTTAATGCATTTATAACCTGAAAATGTGTTTTTGTTGTCTCATAATGAGTCATTTTTATCTACAGAGGTCCTCTTCTATGGAAACTGCCATGTTGAACCACCATGTTTCTACAGTAGCCCGGAACGGAAAAACTAAACACTGACTCTAGATAAGACCTTCACGTTTTTTGTGACCTCTCATTTTTTCTACACTGGTCCTTTAAATCATGAATGCTGTATTGTTCATTCTTGTACATTCCTGAAGTAGTCCATGAATTAATTCATTATTCTTCAAGCATGAAGACATGTATTAACCAAACTGGTTATATCAAATTAAAAAAAGAGTCACCCCACAACCTACCTTGAAGTCAATCATCACCTTTCACCGTCATCTTTTTTTCTTTAAAGTGCAGTGATGTGTGAATTTGAGATTTCCAGCTCACATTGGCTGATTGATGTTTCTCTTACGCTAGAAAAGCTATAAAGGTCAGCTCCCAGGTCAGAATTACCTCAGTGAAGGAGAGGGTGGCTCATGATGGGTTGGATCACTATTATCTTATTCACTCTGCTGGCAATGTCAAAGTCAGAAAACCAAACGTGCAAAGTGATCGGGCAAACAGGGTTTAGGGAATTTTCAAAAGAAGGTGATCTTATTATAGGAGGAGTATTCTCTTTGAGTCGTACACGGATACTGATAGATAATGGTTACCAGGCATTTCCATATTCATACTGCAAAATGTAAGTGACTGTGCTTAAAATATGTAAAAAAATTTATGCAATGTTAAAGTAAAATTGCATGTTTTATATGCATTGCAAAATGATAATGTGTAAGTTTGTCAGTAATGTGTCAACACTTTGTATGCAGGTGGAATGACAGGGAATTGAAGTTTGCCCGGACAGTGATTTTTACTGTGGATGAGATCAACAGAGATACTAAGCTCCTTCCCGGAGCGAGTCTGGGCTATAGGCTGTACAATGGCTGTGGGGAAGAAAATGTCATACGAGCAGCCGTAGAAGCTATAAATGGAGAGGATTCAAAGGGCTGCAGTGGTCAGGTCCAGGCTCTTTTAGGCCATTCATCTTCTGGTCTGAGTAAAGATATAAACATCATACTAAGCCCACTATCCATTCCACAGGTAAGAATAAATGATAGGGAAATAACTGCAAACTGTCCAATTTTCATTGTCCTAGCTGTGTATTTATTTCCATCTTTATGAAATATATACACATATCATATTTACCTGTTTTTTTTTTTTTTCTTTCAAGGTTAGCCATTTTTCAACCTGTGCTTGTTTGAGTGACAAAAGACTATATCCCACGTTCTTCAGAACTGTGCCAAGTGACTACTTCCAAATCCTCGGTCTGGTGCAGCTTATGAAATTCTTTGACTGGCGCTGGGTGGGGATTATTTACTCTGAAGAACTGTACTCAGAGGAAGGAACAGCTGAATTCACTAAGGAAGCAATGAAAGAGGGCATCTGTATTGAATACAAATTATCTTTTTCTGAGACATCTCAAATGCTCTCAAAATTTGATGCTATTGTAGAGACAATAAGGGAATCCTCGTCAAAGGTGGTCCTGTTGTTTACGTCTTTGTCTTACATTAAATCATTCCTGTCAGATATGGAGAATTATAATATAACTGGAAAGCAGTGGGTTGGCAGTGAGTCTTGGATCACACAATCAGACCTGGCTTCTGTTGAGAGAAAGGGCATTTTACAGGGGGCAATGGGATTTGCTCTTCCTCAGGCATCCATACCAGGTCTTGGTGAATTCTTACTCAGTTTGAAACCTTCCGATGAACCACAGAGTGAAATAGTTAAAGCTATCTGGGAGAAGTTCTTTGACTGCAGCTTCTCTCCATCAAATACCTCTGCTATGTGCACTGGCACAGAGGATCTCACGACAGTCTCTAGTGACTACACAGATGTGACACATTTCAGGGCTGAGAATAATGTGTACAAAGCTGTGTACTTGGTGGCATATGCCCTTCATGCACTATTGCAATGTAAAAATGGCTCAAATCCCACCACTGGAAAGCCCTGTGTGAACAAGAATGAAGTTCAGCCTAAGTTAGTAAGTTCTGGTAAATTTATTCGCCATTATATACTTATTTAGTAGTCAGTGTTTCTATTGTTTGCGGTTAATGCAAAAAATAAAATGTTACATATTTATTTAGGGTTTGAATACTAAATGTTTTAATGGTTTCTCTTTTGCTGAAGTTGTATGTATGCTGAAATGTGGTTATGGTCTCTCTGTAGGTGTTGGAACATATAAAGTATGTGAACTTCACAACACAGAATGGCGCCAAGGTTTTCTTTGATGAAAATGGAGACTCAGTGGCCCAGTATGACTTAGTTAACTGGCAGATGAAAGAAGATGGCTCTGTTCAGATTGTAAATATCGGTCAATATGATACCTCTTTTCCAGAGGGGAAAAAATTCAAACTAAAAGACAACACCAACATAGTTTGGGGAGGAAACAGTAATAAGGTAAAGTAAATGGAAGATTGCATGTGTAACCATGACGAGACTAGAGGAGCTGAATGACTTTACTCCATAGGAACTTCCTAAACTTTTTGAATTTTTTACATTTTGTAATCAGGTGCCAAGGTCTGTCTGCAGAGAACCTTGTTCACCGGGGACTCGTAAGGCCATTAACAAGTTAAAGCCTGTGTGCTGTTTTGACTGCATTAAGTGCCCTGAGGGGACAATAAGTAATCAGACAAGTGAGTAAAGATTTCAAAATTAAATGTATGCATGTGCATTGTAGTAAAAATAAATAATAAATTGATATATGATATATGAATCAAAAAGTTTTTTTTGCATTAAGTTGTATTTCTGTATTACTTTACTTTTTTTTTTTTACAGATTCTCCAGACTGTTGGATCTGTCCACCTGAATTCTGGCCAAATGAAAAGAAAGATCAGTGTCTTCCAAAACCTGTTGAATACCTTTCCTACAAAGAGATCATGGGGGCACTTTTAACTGGATTTGGTTGTGTTGGTGTGTTTTTATCTCTTTTGACATCAATCATTTTTTTGACTCATAGAGAGACTCCCATTGTAAAAGCCAACAACTCTGAGTTGAGCTTCTTGCTGCTATTCTCATTAAAACTGTGTTTCCTGTGTTCTTTGACCTTCATCGGCCGCCCCTCTGAGTGGTCCTGCATGCTGCGTCACACAGCATTTGGGATCACCTTTGTCCTCTGTATCTCTTGTGTTCTCGGAAAAACTATAGTGGTTTTAATGGCCTTCAGAGCCACACTCCCCGGCAGTAATGTCATGAAATGGTTTGGTCCTACTCAGCAGAGGCTCAGTGTTTTGACTTTCACCCTCATTCAAGTTTTGATTTGTATACTTTGGCTGACAATCAACCCTCCATTCCCAAAGATGAACATGTCATACTATAAAGAAAAGATAATCTTAGAGTGTGCCCTGGGTTCAGCTATTGGATTTTGGGCTGTGTTGAGTTATATTGGACTTCTTGCTGTATTATGTTTTATACTCGCTTTTCTTGCTAGGAAGCTGCCAGACAGCTTTAATGAAGCCAAACTGATCACGTTCAGCATGCTGATATTCTGTGCAGTCTGGATCACTTTTATCCCAGCATATGTCAGCTCTCCTGGGAAGTTCACTGTGGCTGTGGAGATATTTGCTATTCTGGCCTCCAGTTTTGGTTTGCTGGTCTGTATTTTTTTCCCAAAATGCTATATTATTATCTTCAGGCCAGAGCAGAACTCAAAAAAACATTTGATGGGGAAAATACCAGTAAGAACTTTGTGATCTCTAATTCAGAACTGTCCTCCAAAACAAATTAAGACCACTCGTTTTGTTTTGTTGTCACATGTGACAACAAATAAACCAACTTTATTGCAAAGTTGCATTTTTTCCCTGGTAATAGTTTTTTTTTTTTTTCTTACCCAGATCAAGTGTCTAAGGACAGAGGGTGTTGAATGTTGTATAAATTGGAAAGCCCCCTGAGGCAAATTGTGATTTGGGCTATATAAATAAAACTTGACTTGACACAGTTTGACAGATAATGCAGAAACGCTACAGCTGTTGTAACTAATGACCCTTGAACTTGTTGTGATTTGTTGAATAAATTATTTCATTTTATTTCATTATTAGATTTAGAGTTTATGTATTATCGATGACATTTAACCAAAATGTTGAAAAAAATGAAGATAACTTAAGAAAATGTGAAAACTCATGGTTTGCTGTATAATCTAAAATTGCCCTTAATGTCAAACATTTGAAGACTTAAATGGTTATAAGACCACAGTCAACAAAACCAAGTTTTTTGTTTTTTTGTCAACATATACGCATTGACGTCATGACATTTTTTATTATATTAAATAAAAATAAAAGTAGATTCAAGTTGCAGGTGTCACAGTGACTGTATCTAGGACTGTAAAGCAATGCACCTGTTTCAGTACAGTTCCTTCAAATTGATTCAGTGATCTGGAAAGCTCTGTTTTGCCATCACTGCTGTGCACACATACAGGCAGCTCAAGGAATATGTTACGGTAGTTCTGTGTTCAACTCTTCATGTGCAGACATTATTGACTTTTATTTACTGAACAGTATTAATTTACCATTTCTCATATCCACTTTAATTACAGTGTCTTAAATTCCTGTGTTGTTGTTTTTTATTTAGAAGATATAACAATCACAACACAAGAGAGTGACACCATACAAATGTAATATAAAGCTTCGATACTGCATGCAAAAGTAGACACAAAAGACACAAAAGAAAACAATGCACATTCAGAAAATATTTGTCAAACACTGACCTCTGACCAAGTAGATAGCTAATCATACTTTATGATCATGGGAGGGGCACATATGGCCATTGTTTTGCTGGAATTAACACTCAACCCTGCCTGTTCCCATACTGAACTGACTAAAGATTCCTCTGGGGGATACTAAAGACCACCTGTCACCTCATCTGTTACCACAAAGACATCTCAATCTCAACCAGTTAACCTAAAATTCACTATTCACACAATATCCTTTCCCAGTCCTGAGATTGCTTATGACCTATGGGTCAAAACATAGAACACAATACATACAAGTTTAGATTTGGCTATGGTTGGGGCATGTCTCAACTCATTTTCAGGTGGTGTTGAATTGTCCCTAAATACAAGTACATTGTCATTTTAAAGTACCAGTAGGAGGACCTCTAGAGGTGCAGTTGCAGACTGCAACCATCGAAGTAGCTCAGTGTGTAGGACAAACCATAGTGGCCACAAAACTTCTGAAAGGCCCCATCTAGAGCCAGTGTTTGTTTTTTTATGTTCTGGGTTACTCTTACTGGACCTTTAAACCCTCATAATGTTACGACTATACAGTCTATGCAGAGCTTTCAGGTTTGTGTGTCTTTTCTGCAAAAAGTAGCCTTATGGAGACATCAGTTTCTTTTTTGGATTCGGTGTGGATGTTTGAGCATTGTTGTGTTTCAGTCATGAAGCACCTTTTTATTAGCTGCAGAAAACTCTTGAGGCGTGTAGTTTAAATATACTAACTGACAGAAGGACAAAAGCCACAGAATCTCAGGTTTGAAAATGGTTTACAGCAAAGAGTTTGTTCAAACAGGGAAGCACATTACCTAATCCATAACCAACTCCCACCCACCCACATCTACCTGCATCTGACGCAGTTGTTATAAGAGATCTCTCTCATCTCTTCAAAAAAAATTCCAAGCAATCATGCCTGAGCTGCAGAGAGCTACTACCTTATCACTGTTTATTCTGTACCTGAACACAGTTTCTGGCTGTGAACTGTTTGGTAGGTTTAACATGCCAAGTTTGTTCAAGCAGGGAGACATAATGATTGGGGGGATTTTCCCAGTTTTTAACAAAGATGTAAGTGTCACTTCTACATTCGAGAGCAACCCACCTGGAGTGAAATGTGCACGGTAATATATCTTTTCCATACTTCATGCTTTTATACAACTTGTCATTGTATGTACATGTATAATAGCAGCTTTGTAATCTTTCAACCTATTTCAATCATTAAAACCTTTTTAGATTTGACCTGCGAGCTTTTCGGTGGGCCCAAGTGATGTTATTTGCAATTAAAGAAATCAACAATGATCTTGCTCTCCTGCCAAACATATCTCTTGGCTATAGGATCCTTAACTCTTGTTCATCTCCAACAAATACTTTACGTGCTGCACTAACACTGGCTAGTAGACCAGAGGAGATAGAGTTGACTTCCCCTTGTCCTCCAGCTATATCTGCCCTCATAGCAGAGGCAGGATCATCTCAGTCTTTAGCTGTGGCTGGAACTCTTGGACCATTTCAAGTGCCAATAGTAAGAAATCAAATGAGACATTTTATTGCTCTTTTATTGTTCTGTGATATGTAAAGCTTATAGTGCTTGTTTTGAGGCATGGTTTTTTTTAGACTTTGTTTGGTGTTCTTTTTATAGGTAAGTTACTTCTCAACATGTGCCTGCCTGAGTGACAGAGCTAAATATCCCACATTTTTTCGAACAATCCCCAGCGACTATTTCCAGGCAAAAGCTTTGGCAGCATTAGTCAAACATTTTGGCTGGCAGTGGATTGGGGCCATACAGTCAGACAATGACTACGGTCGGAATGGGATCCTGGCTTTTACTGAAGAGGTTAGAAAGCTTGGGGTTTGTATTGAATTTGTCGGGACAGTTTTACGTACGTACACTATGGATAAAATTCTGGATGTTGTGGAAATGATTAAGTATTCAACTGCCAAAGTCATTCTTGCTTTTGTTCCAGAGGGTGACTTTTACCCTTTGATGAAAGAGGTTGTGAAACAGAATATTACAGGAATTCAGTGGATTGCCAGTGAGGCCTGGATAACAGCAAGTCAACCTTCCACCCCTGAAATCTACCAAGCTTTTGGTGGAGCCTTAGGCTTTGTGGTGCAGAAGATGGCAATTCCAAATCTAAAACAATTTCTTACAAGTATTAGCCCATATGCAGATCCAAATGCAGCCTTTGTGAGGGATTTCTGGGAAATTATAGTGGGCTGTAGACCGGTTTCACCTGGGGAAGACACAGGTACTGAGGCAATAAATGAAATATGCACAGGCAATGAGACATTAATGAATTCCCAGGATGTGTTCTTCAATGTCACACAGCTCAGAGTGTCCTATAATGTGTATAAAGCAGTTTATGCTATAGCACATGCCCTGCATCAGCTGGTATACTGCCAACCAGTTGGAGAAAAAACAGTGAGGCCATGTTTGAATATATCTGAAATTCAGCCCAAACAGGTGAGAAATAGTAAAAGAAAATCCCCAATGAAACAATGAATGTATCTGTAAAGTTATCATGGCAATATAAATTCCTATCTAACAAATAATCATTCATTTTGCAGGTCACTGATCATCTACAAAGGGTGAATTTTAGGAATCAGTTTGGGGATGATGTGTTTTTTGATGTCAATGGTGATCCTCCGGCTTCTTATGATATTATAAACTGGCAGCTGATAGATGGGCAGGTACAGCATGTCACACTGGGTCATTTTGCCTCTGCTGCTAACGGTGATCATAAGCTCAGCATCAAGGAGGAAGACATTGTATGGAGGACAGGGAAAATGGTAATCATGAAGACTTTTTAGATACAATAAACTTATAGTATTTGAATAGGGATGCACAATATTCAATATGCCGATATTTTCCAGCTCATTTTGGCACATATTTTTTCAACCTGATTAAAGAGAACATCAAGTCTTTCCTGGAGTAGAATTGACATAATATTATCCCTAATCTTATCATGAGTAGGGTTGGCTTGGATGATGCTCTCCCTGAGACAATCATGACAACAACCAGGGCATATTTGATTTGATTTCACAGATTGCAATAGAAGTAGATACATGTCTGTGTACAGGGATCCTGTTAGTGTATTTTACAGCTCTTCTGCAATTAAAGCCAACTGAAAGAATATAGACATATTGTAATCTTTTTCACACAGTTTAATAAGTGGGTCTAAATTAGTAGGCTATATGCTTTACAGACTGCTGCTTAAGCTCAATGATATATCAACTGAACAAATTAATTCAAAAAAGGACAATAGCTTGCTACTCAGGAAAGGTCAAATCTGAAAAATACATGCAACATGTTGTGTAGCTCAATAAAGTCCACCAGTCTTGACATCTTCAACAAAGGAAAACAGCTGACTGTCCAGAGCAATACACTCTGCTGACATATGTTTTTTGCTGGTGGCTGTTTTTCTTTGTTCGTCACAGATTCAGTGTAATGATCAGGATGACAGACCTTAAGATGCTTGATTAAATATGTAGTACCTAAAGGAATGACCAACACTGAGCAATGATTGCAAATAGAAACTTTATCATTCCTTTCGGAAACTTTAAAATACCCCCACTTCTTACACTCACACACGTCATCTATGGCTCGCATATAGCCTAGTTAATGGCATAATTTAAGCCCTCTCTTATCGGCCGTTACCAGTGTCTTTCTGATATTATTGTGCATCCCTAATTTTTAACATGTTTTTGTCTTTTGCTGAAACATATCAACTGAATATAGCAATACTAATATTACATTGTTTTCTCAGGTTCCGACATCGGTGTGCTCCAATGTTTGTCCAATAGGAACCAGAAAAGCTCAAATAAAGGGAAGACCCACCTGCTGTTTTGACTGTATCCCATGTACTGATGGAACTATAGCCAACTCAACAGGTATCCATTATAAACAAACTTGTAAGCAAATATACATCATATATCATAGTACGTATTTAGTCTTTGCATAATATATTTCAAAATATTATTGTTATTGTTATTGTTACTGTTCCGTTTTCTCGCTTTAAATGCATTGCATTTTTTTGCTTACATATCGTTGAACTTTCTGCAAATGTAACATACATGTCAACTCAAGTCCAGTCAGTTTTATCACAAATTTGCCTCAAGGGGCAGGCACTGAACTGATTCTCTCAACAGGTGCAGCCGACTGCACACCCTGTCCACAGGAATACTGGTCCAATGAAAGGAAAGACGAGTGCATTCCTAGAACCACCGAGTTCCTGACATATCATGAGCCGATGGGAATAGCTCTCACAGTTGTATCCCTGCTAGGGGCTTCCCTGTCGTTAGCCACAATGATGATTTTCATCCACTACAGAGAAACTCCTGTAATAAAGGCCAGCAACTCTGAGCTGAGCTGTTTCCTGTTATTTTCTCTTTTTTTGTGTTTTCTCTGTCCCCTCACGTTCATCGGCAAACCCACTGTCTGGACATGCATGCTGCGCCACACAGCTTTTGGTGTGACATTTGCACTTTGTATTTCCTGTGTCCTGGGAAAAACTATTGTTGTTGTTACAGCTTTTAAAGCCACACTTCCTGGAAGCAAAGTTGCAGGAAAGTTTGGTCCTGCACAGCAAAGGATCATAGTATGCTCCTGCACATTGATTCAGATAATAATATGTGTGTTGTGGCTTAAATTAAACCCACCGTTCCCAGACATGGTTTTCAAATACAGCAATATGAAGATAGTGTTGGAATGTAACACAGGCTCTGAGGCTGCTTTCTATGCAGTACTGGGGTACATAGGGCTCCTTGCTATAATATGTTTGGTCCTGGCCTTTCTAGCAAGAAAGTTGCCTGATAACTTTAATGAAGCCAAGTTTATCACATTCAGCATGCTGATATTCTGTGCTGTCTGGATTACTTTCATTCCAGCATATGTCAGCTCTCCTGGGAAGTTCACTGTAGCTGTGGAAATATTTGCAATATTGTCTTCAGCATTTGGCCTATTACTTAGCATTTTTGCACCTAAGTGTTATATAATATTGATCAAGCCAGAGAAAAATACTAAGAAACATGTAATGGGAAAAACTGTAAACAAATCATGATATTTCCTTTATTTTAAAAGATAATGCTGCTGTGACTTTAATTTTCTATATAATTTACTGTAGAAACAGTAATAAAGCAAGATGTTGTAGCATTTATATAATATAGAGTTACATCTACAAGTCAGTTATTTGATTTATAAATCTTCTATTCATGATATTACATTAAAGATACACATGTTGTGTAGGAGAAACCCATGGATGAAAATTATTTCTTGATATATTTTAATTAACATGCCTCATAACATGATTTTCGTGCTGTGAAAAACTAAGTTGTAAAATATATAATGCATTTAACCTCTATACAAATCATTAATAATTTACCATTTAGTACTATTTAGTAGTACAGATACAACATTATTCCATTTGGTGATCTTATAATGTTTGTGTTTTATTTCCCAACATAGCTAATTAATAAAACTGTTCTCTCTTCACTTGAATACATTTTGGGAAAAAAAATAATTCTATATCAACAATTTCCCAATCAACCAAAAGACCCTGTAAATAACATTTATCATAAAAAAATAAAAAATAAAAAATAAAAATATATGTCTCTGTCTCTGGATCTTTACTATTTTGTTTTTATTATTTACTGTATTTAATCCACTTTAAACTTAGAATAATACATACAGCGTTTTAACCATGGATGGGCTACATCAGCAGAGTTTTTTTCGAGATTAGACAGGCCTTATTCCTTATGAGTGGGTTGCAGCGTGCTTAACTTTCTCCTTCATGGATAATATCTGTTTCACTTCACTTAATATTCTACAGTTGGCGATATGATATACTGAAGAAAGCTATATACAATAGCAGCAGATTATTATAATAAATTTTTCACAACTTTTGTTTCTTACAATAGTTTATTCTTCAGGTCCCCAGGGACCCCAGTGGGTAGTCCTTGTATGTTAACTATATTATTAGGAATTGACTGTGTACAGTTTCAACTATTTTGTTGTAACATACTATTAATAGTTGCAGCATTTTCAAGTGAGAAATGTGTAAGCTAGCATTGGGGCAAAAGTATTTCAATAATGTTTGACTTGTTGCATTTTCAGCATGAATCTTTAATATGACAACTCAACAAGATATTTAATTAAATGGCTTCCATGTACATTCTTTATCAAGACATGTAATGTACTGTCATTTTCATTTTTGCATCATGTTTTTTTTACTGTTTTTTTCTGGTTTCAGAATTATGATATAGCACTTTGGAGCAAAAATGCAAAAAAGGAGACCAAAAGCTGATGCTAAAATAGCAAAAATATGGACAGCCACTGTGTATTTCCCAGCTGAGCTCACATAAACTGGGATAAAAGTAATCCATACTGCAAAGAATATCAGCATGCTGAATGTGATGAACTTTGCCTCGTTGAAATTATCTGGCAACTTCCGAGCCAAAAATGCCATTAGGAAGCATGTGCAAGCCAGGATGCCGATGTATCCAAGAACACACCAGAAGCCAACCGCTGAACCAGTAGCACACTCAATGATGATGGTAGCACTGTGGTAATCTGTGTTGTTGTTGGCATGAGGTGGACTGGTGAGCAGCCAGACAAGACAGATTATTACCTGAGGAGAGGGAAAAACAGCTTGCTCATTTAAACATATTCATTAAAAAAAATTTAAGTTGACTTATGGAAAGTGTTCCTACCTGGACAGCTGTTCCTAAAAGTGCACTAGCTCTCTGCTGGTTGGGTCCAAACCACTTCATGACATTACTTCCTGGCAGTGTGGACCTAAAGGCCATCAGGACCACAGCTGTCTTGGCCAGGAGGCATGAAATGCAAAGGGAAAAACTGATGCCAAATGCTGGGTACCTGATGCGGCAAAGCCAGTCTGAAGGCTCACCAATGAACAACAGGCCGACAAGAAAACAGACAGCAAGAAAAACCAAGAGAAGGAAGCTCAATTCCATGTTGTTGGCCCGAACCAGTGGAGTGTCTTTGCATGTAAAGAATATGGCGAGAATGGAGAGGGAAATACAAGCTCCAAGGATGGATACAACACACAGCACAATACCCATTAACTCATGGTAAGACAGGAACTCAATAGTCTTTGGGGTGCAGAGATCTCTGGCTTTATTGGGCCATGTGTCCTTCGAGCAGCGGGAGCATTCTAAAGAATCTGGAGATGGACAGAGAAGATAATTGTTTAGTTTAGAGAGGCTGTACAAGCAGCTCAGTTTATATTTGGCTAACAGAAGAAAGGGTGATAAAAGACATAACATAACACACCAGTCTTATTACTAACTTCTCCCTCAGCACAGGGGACACAGTCGAAACAGCAGATGGGTTCCCCTTTTCTCCTGGCGATGCGAAAACCTGGAGGACAACTTTCGCTGCATACAGACCGGGAAGCCTGAGAGGCACAGTTCAGCCACTCAGAAACACACTGATTTCATCAATATTCACCAAACCACTCTGGGTTTTTTTTCTATCTCTGGTTTCTACAGACTATGCTTCAGAATTAGACTAAAAGTATGCAAACCAAACTCAGCATGATCAGTGAAACCTGTGTTACAACTAAAACAGAATTCTGTTGACTACCAATTATTGTGATGATTAAATAAAATAAAAATAAAATTTTGAGGGAGTAATAGTGTAACAGTTTTGTAATCATGATTAGATTAAGAATTAATTATTTTGACCTCAGAGGATCAACAGATAACTGATGCATATGCCTGTGTAAGTTATGCCATCATTGTTAACATGTGTGTATATATATATATATTTTCTTGTAAACATAAGTCCTGCATTTTTAGAGCTGTAATCTGTTCCCAGTTTTGGGTAGTTAATGGGGTTTATGTTGGCAACATTCATATGTAGTTGATGTAAGATATTTGAATATGACATTTTATTTTGCTTTTATAACAATAAAGTATGTTTCACACGAATGGAAAAAACTTAGCTGATGTGTTGATCAACAGTACATAGAACAGTGTGAGAGGTGAACATGATCTCAAGCCTGTTTGCAGAAAACACACCTGCTTCCCAACAGGCCACTGAATCACTGAGTCATTTATGACCAGGCTGCGTCCAGCAGGCGATGAGGCATCATAGAAACCTACTTTTTCCAAATGTAGTGAGCCGTCAGGCCTCCTTTGCCAGTTCAAGAGATCATAATAAGCAATGGGGTCACCGTTTTGATCGAAGCTGACTTTCTCCCCGAGTGCAGAAAAATTAGCACGTTTCATGTAATACATTAGCTGAGGGAGGGAGAAAAACAGGTGGTTTTTAAAAACTATGGTGGACTTGACTTTTTTCTCACTGTTTAGGTTTTTCTTAAAAAATATATTAAACCTACAATTAGTCTCACCTGCCAAGATTTAAAATTCTTTAGGTCTGCACAGGTGCCATTAAGGAAAGGCCCCTTTCTGACACTGCAGTTAGCCATATCATGCAATGCATGGGCCACCAGATACACTGCTTTGTAGACATTATAAGACACTCTTAGCTGTGTCACATCAGAATAAGGAGAGTAAATATCACTTAAGTCCTCTGTCCCTTTGCATGGCAATCTGTCGATGTAGTTGTTATCTCCGTGAGACAGGCTGTTCACTGACCCATTCAGTCGACAGTTAAACGTCTCTTCCCAAAATTCTGCCAAGAAAGCTGATTCATGAATATTGGATGGTCTGAGATTAGTGAGGTGTTGTTGAAGGCCTGGAATCACATCAGCTCTTTGGATGGCAAATCCCAGTGTTCCTGTCAGGAGATCTCCAAACTTTTCCCAGAGTGATTTGGCAGTGGCCCAAGCCTCACTGGCGATCCACTGAAGACCGGTTATATTCCGACGTTGGATCTCTCTCAGAATAACATTCATCTCTGACTCAAGACAGAAGTTAATGATAACCTTTGAGGATGCCATCTAAACAGTAAAAATGTAGAATAGTTAATATTTAATTGAGGTAAAAAAGGTTTTAAAAACTTTAATGAAGGGATAGTGTGTTGGGCCTCCTCTACTTTATATGAAATTTGATTCTCATTCAGGCACCTATAATAATATATATAATAATACCTTGAAATACAGCATAGTGCATACTAATGAAATGTATATTAACAAGACACATGTACGGGGTATGTTAATTTTTCAGGACAGAATTTGTAGTGGTGCAATACTAAGCTTTGTGAGCATAAATTCTGTATTAAAGACATAACAAATTTTAATCGTATTGTAAAAATTTTGCCCTTTTTTAATGTAAAATATTTGCATGCATTTTCTTTATAAATTGAAGTATTCTGGGATGTCTGTGATTTGAGATGTATGTACAGAATTAATACAATGCAATAAACAAAACAATTAACTATTTTAATGATTGTGCTGTAAATATTCAGAATTGTTGGTACCATTTCTCATTCTTTTGTTAGACTTATGGAAGACACAAAGACCACTTTAATGAAAATGTATTAACTGCGAGGCTAACATAAATGTACAAATAAAAATAATGTCTTATTCCCTTCTGTTCAGTATCACAATGCAACACTTCAAATACTGACCTTAAATGACTGTGGAGTTTAAACAACCTATTTTATTTATTGCAGGTGTTTGTTGTCTACCTGCAGTATGTATGAAAATGTCATATTGACCATTAGGTACCTGAATTACATCCAGAAGCTCATCTAGAGCCTGTTGACTCAGAAGTACAGGGTAGACATGAATGTAGGCAGCACACACACCATACTGCACTGACTCCTCCAGGAAGAGTTGGATGGCAAAGCGAGCATAATCAGATTCCACCCCAATGACTCCCACCCAGGTCCAGCCAAAATAGCTAACCAGCTGGGCCAGGGCTTTTATCTGGAAGGCATCACTGGGCATGGTGCGCATGAATGTGGGGAACTCCCTTTGGTTACTCAGACAGCTGCAGGATGCGAAATAGCTCACCTGGTATAATAGCAAACAATAGTTAACCTTCTGCAATACTGTTGTCTTTGCAAGAATTCAGTGTAGCAACATTTTCCCTGCACTTGAAACAAAAAGGGAGTATGGAGTCTTGTGACTTAAATACTCAGTTGCAAAAATGGAAGATGAGTTCATTCTTTTTACACTATAAGCACAATACTGGTACATTTACAAACAAATCACTCTATAGTTTAAAGCCCAACCAACAACAACAAATATTTCATCTGGTGATTTGGTGATTTAGAATTTTTCAAATAGATCAAAGGATAAAGTGTTTCTTGATGGATTTAGAACAATCCTTCTTCTGAAGCCAAATAAACTTAAAAGACATTAACAAATTTAACAATCGAAAAAATGAACGATCACAAAGCTTCTGACTTTTTGGAGAAATGTCGTTTTCACAGGACACCAATGATTTTCAACTGTATGGCACCTCATTGATATGAAGCTGATTTAACATGGCAAAACATTATCACATTTAAGATTATTTAACTCTTAGTCATCTAGTCTCACCAGGGGGATATGGAAAGAACCCAGGCTTCTTTGCAGAGCCATAGACACCCCAGAGGCAGCACCTCCTATGATTACTGGGGAGACAGTCCTTTGTACAGCAGCACAACCTAAATTTGAATCACTTTCTGGACCTCTGGAGTCTCTCTCTGGCTGGCCGTTCACCAACAGCAAAGATGCTCTCAGAGATACCGGTATGTCATCACAGCTGTCACGAATGTGGAAACCCAGCTTGAGCTGTGGCAGGAGGTCACTGCGCTGGTTGATCTCTCCGATTGCAAAAGTCATGGTCTGCATCCAGCGCAAGGCACGAGAGCTGAAACTATGCAGAAGTGAAAAGCAGTTCATTATATACCACAAATATATACATATATTAAAATACCCTAAACACAAATCCAATAAAATGAAATTTACTCTGTACCACCTCAGCCAATTACAATCATATTTTACTATTTGAATCACTTACTATTTATAGATATAAGGTGTTGGTTTAGTTTTGTATGTTGGAAGAGAAGACACAAGGCTGTAGTGTAGAGGGAATAAACCCCCTATAACTACATCTCCATCTTCATACAGACTGTTTTTCTCCTCTTCAACCAAGAAAACACAGTTATTCAGAGCAGCAGCTGAGCCAGGTTTGCTCCAAATGAGAGACAGAAACACAAGAAGCTTTGTAGACGGTATTGCCATGGCTGGCCCAGGTTTTAGTAAAGCCCCAGCTCAGAAATGTTAAATATTTTAATAGTTGAATATACGAGAGTAGATTTCCTTTCTGGCCACACACAAAGGATTATGATATTTCAGGAAACAGCTGATTTATATACTCTAGTTAGCACACATAGAACTGAGGGCCTGCCCAGATCCAGTAGTCATGACATCATTGAAAATATCACCTTGTGATCCCTGGAATTATACTTTTTGTCACATCTCACAGGTGCTTTTTTATTATTATTATCAGTTTTTCACAACTTTGTCAATGTGTTCCTAATGGTATTGATGAAGACAGGCAGATTTCCTTATGTGCTCTGTTGACATAACTAAATACTGCTATAATGGTTGTTTCTTACAATAGTTCATTCTTCGGGTCCCCAGGGACCCCAGTAGGTAGTCCTTGTGTGTTAAATATATTGTTTGGAATCGACTGTGTACAGTTTTAAGTATTTCGTTGTAAAATACTATTAATAGTTGCAGCATGTGAAGTGATAAATGTGTTGGCTAGCAATGGGGCAACAGTATTTCAATAATGTTTGACTTTCAGCATGAATCTTTAATATGACAACTCAACAAGATATTCAATTACAATGGCTTTCATCTTTCATGTAAATTCTTTATCAACACATGTAATGTACTGTCATTTTCATCTTCTGATCATGTTTTTCTTGCTGTTTTTTTCTGGTTTCAGAATTATGATATAGCACTTTGGAGCAAAAATGCAAAAAAGGAGACCAAAAGCTGATGCTAAAATAGCAAAAATATGGACAGCCACTGTGTATTTCCCAGCTGAGCTCACATAAACTGGGATAAAAGTAATCCACACTGCAAAGAATATCAGCATGCTGAATGTGATGAACTTTGCCTCGTTGAAATTATCTGGCAACTTCCGAGCCAAAAATGCCATTAGGAAGCACATGCAAGCCAGGATGCCGATGTATCCAAGAACACACCAGAAGCCAACCGCTGAACCAGTAGCACACTCAATGATGATGGTAGCACTGTGGTAATCTGTGTTGTTGTTGGCATGAGGTGGACTGGTGAGCAGCCAGACAAGACAGATTATTACCTGAGTAGAAGGAAAAACAGGTTGTTCATTTAAACATATTCATTAAATATTTAAAAGTTGCCTTATGGAAAGTGATTCTACCTGGACAGCTGTTCCTAAAAGTGCACTAGCTCTCTGCTGGTTGGGTCCAAACCACTTCATGGCATTACTCCCTGGCAGTGTGGACCTAAAGGCCATCAGGACCACAGCTGTCTTGGCCAGGAGGCATGAAATGCAAAGGGAAAAACTGATGCCAAATGCTGGGTACCTGATGCGGCAAAGCCAGTCTGAAGGCTCACCAATGAACAACAGGCCGACAAGAAAACAGACAGCAAGAAAAACCAAGAGAAGGAAGCTCAATTCCATGTTGTTGGCCCGAACCAGTGGAGTGTCTTTGCATGTAAAGAATATGGCGAGAATGGAGAGGGAAATACAAGCTCCAAGGATGGATACAACACACAGCACAATACCCATTAACTCATGGTAAGACAGGAACTCAATAGTCTTTGGGATGCAGAGATCTCTGGCTTTATTGGGCCATGTGTCCTTCGAGCAGCGGGAGCATTCTAAAGAATCTGGAGATGGACAGAGAAGATAATTGTTTAGTTTAGAGAGGCCATACAAGCAGCTCAGTTTATATTTGGCTAACAGAAGAAAGGGTGATAAAAGACATAACATAACACACCAGTCTTATTACTAACTTCTCCCTCAGCACAGGGGACACAGTCGAAACAGCAGATGGGTTCCCCTTTTCTCCTGGCGATGCGAAAACCTGGAGGACAACTTTCGCTGCATACAGACCGGGAAGCCTGAGAGGCAAAGTTCAGCCACTCAGAAACACACTTATTTCATCAATATTCACCAAACCACTCTGTGTTTTTTTTCTATCTCTGGTTTCTACAGACTATGCTTCAGAATTAGACTAAAAGTTTGCAAACCAAACTCAGCATGATCAGTGAATCCTGTGTTACAACTACAACAGGATTCTGTTGACTACCAATTATTGTGATGATTAATTAAAATACAAATACAATTTTAAGAGAGTACTAGTGTAACAGTTTTGTAATAATGATTAGATAAAGAATTAATTATTTTGACACTAGAGGATCAACAGATAACTGATGCACATGCCTGTGTAAGTTATGCCATCATTGTTAAGATGTGTGTGTATATATATATATATATATATTTTTTTTTTTTTTTTTTTTTTTTTCTTTTTCTTGTAAACATAAGTCCTGCATTTTTAGAGCTGTAATCTGTTCCCAGTTTTGGGTAGTTAATGGGGTTTATGTTGGCAACATTCATATGTAGTTGATTTCAGATTGAGTAGGTTATATTTGAAGATGACATTTTATTTCGCTTATTTAACAACACAAACAAATTAAAGTATATTTCGCACGAATGGAAACAACTTAGCTGATGTGTTGATCAACAGTACATAGAACAGTGTGAGAGGTGAAAATGATCTCAAGCCTGTTTGCAGAAAACACACCTGCTTCCCAACAGGCCACTGAATCACTGAGTCATTTATGACCAGGCTGCTTCCAGCAGGCGATGAGGCATCATAGAAACCTACTTTTTCCAAATGTAGTGAGCCGTCAGGCCTCCTTTGCCAGTTCAAGAGATCATAATAAGCAATGGGGTCACCGTTCTGATCGAAGCTGACTTTCTCCCCGAGTGCAGAAAAATTTGCACGTTTCATGTAATAAATTAGCTGAGGGAGGGAGAAAAACAGGTGGTTTTTAAAAACTATGGTGGACTTGACTTTTTTCTCACTGTTTAGGTTTTTCTTAAAAAATTATATTAAACCTACAATTAGTCTCACCTGCCAAGGTTTAAAATTCTTTGGGTCTGCACAGGTGCCATTAAGGAAAGGCCCCTTTCTGACACTGCAGTTAGCCATATCATGCAATGCATGGGCCACCAGATACACTGCTTTGTAGACATTATAAGACACTCTTAGCTGTGTCACATCAGAATAAGGAGAGTAAACATCACTTAAGTCCTCTGTCCCTTTACATGGCAATCTGTCAATGTAGTTGTTATCTCCATGAGAGTGGCTGTTCACTGACCCATTCAATCGACATTTAAATGTCTCTTCCCAAAATTCTGCCAAGAAAGCTGATTCATAAATATTGTTTGGCCTGAGACTAGTGAGGTGTTGTTGAAGACCTGGAATCACATCAGCTCTTTGGATGGCAAATCCCAGTGTTCCTGTCAGGAGATCTCCAAACTTTTCCCAAAGTGATTTGGCAGTGGCCCAAGCCTCACTGGCGATCCACTGCAGACCGGTTATATTCCGGTGTCGGATCTCTTTCAGAATACCTTTCATCTCTGAGTCACTGCAGAAGTTGATGATAACCTTTGAGGATGCCATCTAAACATAAACATGTAGAATAGTTAATATTTAATTGACTTAAAACAGTTTTAAAAACTTTGATGAAGTGATGGTGTGTTGGGCCTCCTCTACTTTATATGAAATTTTATTCACATTCAGGCATCTATAATAATATATATTATTAACTTTGAAATACTGCATAGTGCGTACTAAGTAAATCTATATTAAGACAAATTTACAGGGATTGGTAATTTTTCAGGACATAATTTATAGTGTTGCAATACTAAACCTTCTGAGCTTAAATTCTGTATTAATAACAAAACAATTTTAAATTGTATTATTCTAAAAATGTAAACCCTCTAGTAAGTATTTGCATGCATTTTCTTTATACCTTGAATTATTTTGGGGTGTCTGTGATTAGATATGTAAATACAGAATTAATACAATGCAATGAGCAAAACAAATAATTTCCCATTTCTGATTATTTTTTTAGACTTATGAAAGAGACCAAAAGACCAATTTAATTCAAATGTGTTAATGGAAACTACGTCCTTTGCCTTTCTGTTCAGTATCACAATGGAACACTTCAAATACTGACCTCAAATGACTGTGGGGTTTAAACAACCTCCTTTATTTATTGCAGTTTGTTGTCTACCTGCAGTATGTATGAAAATGTCATATTGACCATTAGGTACCTGAATTACATCCAGAAGCTCATCTAGAGCCTGTTGACTCAGGACTACAGGGTAGAAATGAATGTAGGCAGCACACACACCATACTGCACTGACTCCTCCAGGAAGAGTTGGATGGCAAAGCGAGCATAATCAGATTCCAGACCAATGACTCCCACCCAGGTCCAGCCAAAATAGCTAACCAGCTGGGCCAGGGCTCTGACCTGGAAGGCATCACTAGGCATGGTGCGCATGAATGTGGGGAACTCCCTTTGGTTACTCAGACAGCTGCAGGATGCGAAATAGCTCACCTGGTATAATAGCAAACAATAGTTAACCTAATTATCATTAGTATTATAATTATAATATTTCACCAGACCATACTGTCGTCTTTGCAAGCATTCAGGGGAGCAGAGTTTTGCACTTGAAACAAAAAGGGAGTATGGAGTCTTGTGACTTAAATACTCAGTTGCAAAAATGGAAGATGATTTCATTCTTTTTATACTATAAGCACTGGTACATTTACAAACCAATCACTCTATAGTTTAAAGCCCAACTAACAACAACAAATATTTAATCTCTGTCTAGTGAAAACCATGTTGCAGAAAATTTGGTGATTTTGAATTTTTCAAATAGATCAAAGGATAAAGTGTTTCTTGATGGATTAAGAACATTCCTTCTTCTAAAGCCAAATAAACTATTTTTACAATCTGAAAAATTAATGATCAGAAAGCCTTTGACTTTTTGGAGAAACGTTGTTTCCTCAGGACACCAATGATTTTCAACTGTTTGGCACCTCATTGATATGAAGCTGGTTTTACATGGCAAAACATTACTACAGTTAAGATTATTTAGCTCTTAGTCAACTAGTCTCACCAGGGGCATATGGAAGGAACCCAGGCTTCTTTGCAGAGCCATAGACACCCCAGAGGCAGCACCTCCTATGATTACTGGGGAGACAGTCCTTTGTACAGCAGCACAACCTAAATTTGAATCACTTTCTGGACCTCTGGA